AACCTTCCAAACGCCACAAAAACCTTCCAAACGCCACAAAACACACCACAAGCCTCACCGAGTGTCTCCTTGCTACCGCGATCTCACCCACAGGAAGCCGCAACTGCGTGGCAGCAGGGAAAATGGCTGCGGATCTGGTTCGTAAGTAGAGGCAGAGTTCGCAAGTAGAGGTAAATTTTTGGGGCCGAAGCTGGTCGTATCTTGAAAAATTCGTAAGGAGGGGCGCTCGTAACTAGAGTTACCAGTGTAATATTGAATATTCACTCTATTAAATGTGGTTCATTTTGTTTTGATCTGATAACAGGATCTAGATGATAGAATACAGCCTGTTATTAAGATTCCTCCCCCCTCCCCCCAGACACATACAGTTCCCATTGCACCTGTGGGTTTGATACTATCTCCCATCACAGCACCATTACTAAATCGGAGTTTTGTGGTTAACAAGAACTCCTCCTGTGTACATTTGAAAATAAATCTTATCCTATAGAAATGCTGTTGGTCTCATTCCAAGAGAATCAGCTCAACACTGTGTAAGTTTGTGTAAGCTGGAGTCTATAAAACTATTCACCTTTCTGAAGTGGAATAAACACACATATGCCACAATATTTGTAAGGCTGCAGATATCTGATTTATAACCTTGGCAAGGATTTAATCAACAATAAAACTCTGCATTACTATATATAGGAAATTGACCAGATATGCTATTTTAGGACTATTTTAGGACTTAGGGCTAAAGAAAAGGAGCTCCATTTACATACAGGGCTATGCTTAATTATGTCAAATTGTTTTTCTTTTTTTTTTTAATTGGGATTATTGTTTTAACCTCAGATATTGTAGTTTACATTGTGGAATTGTGCTGTTTTAATTTTGTATGCCTCCCAGAATCACTGCTATGAGATGGGTGGCCATATAAATCAAATAAATAAATAAGGAAACTGATTCTACCCCCCACCCCCACCCCAGCATGGCTCCTACCAGCTGCCCAGGCCTTACACAATTTTTACAGAAAGGTAACCTCCAAATATTACAGGTAGTCCTTGCTTAACAACCGTTCATTTAGCAACCATTCAAAGATACAGTGGTGCTGAAAAAAGTGACTTACAGCCAGTCCTCGCACTTATGACTGTTGCAGCATCCCTGCAATCACGTGATTGTGATCTAAGTGCTTGGCAACCAGATCACACTTACAACAAGTGCAGTGTCCCAGGGTCACATGATCACCATTTGCAACCTTCCCAGCCAGCTTCCAACAAGCAAAATCAATGGGGAACTGCGTGATTCACTTAACAACCATGTGATTCACTTAATGACTGTGGTGATGCACTTAATGACCATTGCAAAAAGGTCGTAAAATTGGGTGCAGTCACATGATGTCTTGCTTAATGACCACCCTGCTTAACCTCCAATTTTCCAGTCCCTATTGTGGTCATTAAGCGAGGACTACCTGTATTCCTATGACCTGGAACTTGGACACCTGAATAATTGTTCATGTACTGATTCCAACTTCTTCTCCCCTTCTCTGGACATGTCCACATTGCTTGAACAGCATAGATCCAGAGTCAGCAGGAGAAGTGGCAGTCCATGTAGGGCTACTGGAACCAGACCCTGCATACAACTGCTAAATTTTGGCTTCACCATTGCACTAAAGGGCTGAAACCTATGAAACCTTCCACCTCAGGAGCACAGTAGCTAACACAGATTCACAGCTGCCAATAAATAAGGAGAAAATCTCTGGACTTTATAAAACCCAAGCCATGAAACAAAATGTTCAAGTACTATTCTGTCCCATCGTTTTCTGAAGAACAGGCTTGCTACCACCTTTCAGTGGCAGTTAGCTGATGGAATTGTCAACCATGATTGACAGTTTATTTATCTGCTAAGGAGGTTCCCTAATTAAATTTCACGCCATTTTTCCCTGATTAATTTTGAATCCAATCCCTTCCTAGGGAAGACTGCTTATAAGAAACAATGGAGAAATGCAGAATTGAAATGTAGCAAAAGTATATCTGGTTCAATTCAAGGACACTGAATCTGTTCATTGCTTGTGCTTATAGATGCTATTGGCTGCTTTATTGCCATCTAGAAATGGATGTAGTTATAAAGTAAGCAAGCTATAGCTTAGGGCCTCACAGTCTGAAGAGACCTCTCAATATTTCAGATTTTTTTTTCATTTGTTATAGTTTTATTATAATTTCATATATGAACTTCTCCATAAATTAAGCCCTCCTGTATGGCTCATATGACCCTCATTAATTGGTTAAGACACGTTTTGGGTCTACATGCATTCAAAGCTGTTTAAAGAACTCCCTTTTCCACCCCATCACTGGTTTGTCATGCATCTTGGCAGCATTCTTCCCAAATTCAATTGTTACACAACCTTTTGCTCTGTTAGCCCTTGCCAAACAGAGCTTCTACGGCTTCCCATAACTGAGGGTCCCACCATGTCTAAATCCATCCCTGTGGCCATCTTCACCCTACTTAAAGGTCCATGCAAAACAATATTGGAAATCAGGAGTCCTTACCAAATTATGTAAACAAAATACCTCTGATACATCTAGTGGAGTGCAGTGCTTATGAAATCTTCCTTATCCTACTGCTACTTGCAGTTCTTCAATTGAGGCAA